TTTCTTTAGGTGGGACACAATGTCAAATGGGACTGACTCGCTCCCTGTCACACCTGGTAACTCTCTGAGAATTTTTGCTCCCCGCCTTGGCGACTTCAGGCTTTGCTGGTCTGGAGGTCTCCACTCTGGGGACACAGCAGTGACCCCGCCGAGCTGGAAGGTGAGTCTTCCGTCTGACTCTCTGTGTCAGTGGAGCAACAGGCAGCAAAGGGGGTGGTGCTCCTCGCCCGGGTGATGGGGCTGGGTTACCTCGGGGAAGTGGGGTTCCCACGACACAGTGAGGGCCAGGCAAGGAAGCCGGGACTTGCGTGCACAAGGGTAGGTGCTCCTGGAAAACTGAAGCAACAGAAGGGGCACTACTGCTGGGCAGGCAGGCCCTGTGGGGACGAAGGCGGGGGCTGAGGGCTGGGGAAGTGCAGAACCAGCAGTGGAAAATGAACATTACTCATGGGGAGGTTGTAAGGGTAGCTGTAAACACAGCAGACTAGGAATGAGAAGACACCAATGAGACGAGGTCGCTAAGCCTTTTACCCACGAACCAAACAATCTCAGCTTCTGTGAGACTAAGAAAGACGGCAGCCCAGAGAGAACCCAGTGGTCTCATCTTGACTCGAAAGAGCAACAAGCAGTAAAGATAAACGAACTACTTCTAAGAGCCATTCTGTGCCTAGTAGTTAAATGTGAGCCCTAAAGTTTAAAAGACTTTCTAAACTTGAAACGCTTGGTCTGAAGTGAATCTGTCAGAGAAAGCTAAAAGGAGCATTATTATTTCACAAGACCTGGTCTGATCTGGCCCACTGACGTGTCGTCTCTGCGTCTGTGGCCCAAAGAGAATGAAAGGCAACTGAAAGGAAATGAGGCGAGCTGACTCACCTCCTGGCAGGTGCTGGGCAGCTGTTCTCTTTGGATGGGGCGTCCTCACGACTCCCTGTCACCTGCTATTTTCCTAGTGTGCGCTCCAGTCATTAATTGAACTCATCTGGTCTCACTGCATATCTGAGTTTGTAATCCCTGATCGTAAACCTCTGCATTTTCAGCCCTAGAGCTATTGTTAGCACCAGCCTGTTCTTCAGTGACAGGCAGAGAACGAGGCTGCTGGTGGGGAGGCGACCTACCTGGATAATGCGGTCTCCTTCACGGATGCGCCCATCTTTGGCCGCGATGCTGTTAGGGTCGATCTGAAACACATAGCAGACACCTCGGCTCTGAGTTGGTAACTCAGACATGCATGAAAGTAAACAACCGCCCTGTCCAAAGTCTGTCTCTAACATTCAGTCGTGCTCACGCCTCTGTTTTTCATTTTGCACAGAAATAAACAAGACTGACTTTCATGCAAGGAGAGACAAATGTAGACTCATCTGTTTCCAAGCCCTTTCCAGGCCGTGTTCCTGGATCCTACGTGGCAACCCTGCTGGCCTGAGGGGATGGGGAGGCACAGCTGAAGTGTGCTCCACACACAGGAGTGAAAATCCAGTGTGCTGTACAACAGGTTAAAAGGTACCCTTCGTCATGTTGACTAGCAACCGTGTCTTAATTATTTTACCAAATGTGTATATTACATTTTGGAAAATAACTTTAAAAGTGAAATATCCTTGAGATAAATGGGACTGAATATGGGAGAGATACCCCCGAATGCAGTAATGATGGACCAACTGAAGCTTGGTGGACGACGTACACCCACAGGGAGGCACAGCCCTTGGTTTATCCCAGCAAAGTAGTAGGTTTTATTTCCTGACCGAATTGGGTTTCTGTGCTTGCAAAGATGGGAGAGCAAGGTAAAGTATCCACACTGAACTCAGCCCTCTGCACTGTCTTCTCTGGGAAGATCAAACTAGCGTCCATCATCTTGGAATTGCACATTTCACCGAAAGGAAAAAGCAAAAAAGTCAGAAAGTATAAATGACTCCCTCCACCATGCCGTTCAGTGACACGAGCTGGGAAATGTGTCTGCTCTTCCCTGGGGGTTGAACACACAGAACCATGTGAATGGCTCCCTTTTATGGCCGATTTGCAGGCTTCTGAAGGGTAATTTTGCCTTTTGTGCTCACATTAGAACTTAACCCCTGTGTAAAGACAGAACTCCACGGTGTGTGATAAAGGGGACCAAGAAATTTGTGTCTTTCCAAAGACATCTCAGTGAGCCAGAGGTAAGGTTGGTTAACATACAGAAGCAAGAGAAAAGACTCTCCGGGTCTTGCTTTGGCTGTTAGCAAAAAATGAGCCTCGATACCTCGCTTATGTAAATCCCAATGTCCTCCTCGTCGTCCGTCCGGTAGCACACCGTGAGGCCCAGCTTGTCCTGGCTGTTGACCCTGTAGAGGTCCACCTCCTAGACAGAGAAGGGGCAGGCCCAGTGAGAGCCGGCAGGCAGGGCGGGCTCGGAAAACGTTTTCTTTAAATGATGAACTGGACTGCTTTGCATCTGGCTGTGCAGAGGGGTTAACTTACTAAACAAAAAGTGATGATGGACATGGGATCAATGCTCAGGGCATTTCTGACCTTTCAGTCAATATAAAGTCATTTAGAAAATAGTTATTTTATTGATTCCTCCCCAAAGAAAAATGACCCATATTTCACTCGGCATCAAGACTTCTGGGGTAGGGCTTTTAAAAAGTATTCTTTCAGTGTCTGCCACAAACAAGAATATTTCCAACCCCAAACCATCCAGCCATTTCAGTACAAATGTTTCCAACGTGCTGGGTGAGATTATTTCACGTTGTGTTCCCTTAATATGCACAGTAAGAGAACATGCAAACAGATTACACAGAAACGGATCCAAGAACAGAGGGTAACGTGATAGCACGCAGTTAATGCTTTCCACAACAGCTGTGATATTTACAGTCGAGAAATTAGTCTCAGCCGCTGTTACAGCAAATTAAATAAGATAAAAGCAAAGTGAGTCCAAATGTGAGACACATGAGCACAGAGAACACCACACTGTGTTTGCCAGTGAGTCTGCGTTTCGGAATGAAGTCAGAACTTTGAAAATTGTTGGAGCCTTGGGAGGAAGAGGTGTGTGTCTCTGGAAGTGCCCATGCGTCAAGTCTCCCCTTCTACCCACACTGCCCACCACCCACATGAGACTCTGCCGCAGTGAACTACTGGCCTGATTGAAGGGTCCCCTGAGGGTGAGTTCTCAGGCAGGTCCCCTGGTCTGGGGGTTAGTGTTATCTGCTTGCCAACCCGGAGGGCAGAGGGGCTCTGAGATGGGATCTGTCTCTGGGACCATTCCCCCTCTTCTGGCTGCTCTTGGGTGGTGGTGAGGACAAGTGTTTCTGTGGTGAAGCTCAAAGCAGTAATGGAGCAGATACTTCGTGACCCCTCCCCTGGGAGCAGCAGAGCGCCTAACACCATGGACACTTTTTAGGCAGAAGAACAGCAGGCGCAAAGGTCCTGGGCCAACAGGGCCCAAGCCCTATGAGCAAGGAGAAGAGAGGTGGGCTGAGCGTGGCCAGGCCGTGGGGCCCACAGGCCAGCATGGGGAGTTCGGAGTTTATTTCAACTTCATGGGAACCTTTGGGAAACTCTCAAGAGAGGACTGCCGTGATCTGGTTGATAGCTTCAGCGGTCTCTCCGGCTGACGTGGAGGACAAGGTGGTGGGGAAGAGTTTGGGCTTGGAGGACAGGCAGACCCCAACCCCAGCTCTTTCTGGCAGCTTCCACATGGGGTTTCATGGGCTCGCTACTAAGTCTCAGCCTGTTTCCTCACCAGGACGCGTCACCCTGCCGCTTGGACAGGCTGAACAGTCCCTGAGATGAGGCCTGCAGAGCTCCCGGCACTGCGCCGGGCCCCGGGAAAGGCCACTACAAATGGTACCGTCCGAACTACGTGCAGGTGCGGTTACTTGCCTGAAGTCACAGAAGTTGTCTGTAGCCCAATGCGTGTCTCTCTTTCACGCCTCCCCTCCTCCCCCTAAGATAATTTAATTTTCTGAACAGTGATGTGTTAATTCATTCAGTGACTTCCTGATGATAGCTTTAGCAACCTGGCATATTTTTCTTCAATCAAATCCCATGAACTTCTGACAATTTAGTTGAGTTGGATGGAAATTTCTCATCTCCTGTTTTGAGAAAGAGACTAAGCAAAATAACGGAGGGAGCAGTTTTCCAAACACTTGGGAATAACCCATTTGCAGACCACCGGTATACTAGTCCCACATCACCCTGTGTCACACACAGCCGCAAGTCTCTGTCTCAGGTGCCACGTCACCTGGGCACGGGCGGAAGGGAAGACTCTCTCGGGTTCGGCGCTTCCTCACAGGAAGTGTGACTCTGGGATTTTGTGATTACTTGTTTGGGTCTAATGCCCTGGCTTTAGGGGGGAAGCCGGCTGGTTCTAGATCAGATTCACATGCATCCAAAGCAGAGAAAAGGATAATTGGAGAGGTTGTTGGGAGAAAAAAGGAGACGACAGTAAATGTTGTGAGATGACTTTTCCCTGAAGAGAAATAGTAACACAGGTCAGTTTTCTCTGCATGAGTGGCCGCCAAGGTGAGTATCTCTTTAAAAAGTTCAGAAGCTGTCACAGCTCCACTGGGCTTCATTCTAACACCAAAGTCTGCTTCAAGGTCACGATGAGGTAAGTGCAGAAACTGACAGGTGTGTTGAGAAACTTGTACAGTAATTAGACATTGCTGTGCTAACTAACCAACACGATGAGCAGACCAGTCTAACTGGCCGAGGCGTGGACGGGCTGAGGCAGTACGGAACTGAAGTGGCCAGGGGTGTGCTATAGTGTCACTGTGCAGAGGACAATCTTGTACTGGTCAGTGACATGTTAAATATTACACCAACTGGCCCACCTGGTCTCCATGGTCTTTCAGAGTGAGAAGTGTGACCCTGTAATACACACCTAGTACCCAGGGAAGTGAAAGGTCTGGAAATCATGCTATTCAGGTAGGAAAGAGGAGGATTCACAGGAATGTGGGGGCTGAAGGGCTGATGTATTAAAAAAAAGATTACACTGATTTGGCCTCGTACCAAAAATGTAAGTAGTCTGGTATCGCCAATCAACATGATTTTGATAGAAACCTAACTTGAAAAGCATTTCTACTGTATTTTTGGATCACTATTCTGACCAACAGGTATGTGGAGACGATTAAAGTGGACATTAGTTCATGTGGGATGATTTTTTCCCCCTATACTTTTCCCTTCTGAATTTTCTAATTTCTTCCAATGGATCTGTTACTTTTTACAACTAGGGAGAAAACTTTGAGAACAAAATGACAGGTTGGCATTTGTTGCTTCAAAATATTTTCACCGGAATCACTGATAATTAATCTAGGACCATATCTTACACTTTTCCATACTTAAACACTTTAGATACTGCCATCAACCCACATGTGGTTAGCAAAGTAGTCAGAGATTCCCCATATTGCTTGGAATTACGTTACATACAACACATGATGGCGAACAGATGTTTTTGCTTGGTCGAGGAGAGGTTCTGTTACTAAGATTCTGAGAATGATGCTTCCTCGCTATAGCGGAATGCTACAGAGCCCAACGCTGCACTGAGCCACTGAAAATTTTCCCACAACAGGCTGTCATTCTCACTTTGGCTAGACTAGATTTTAAAACTACAAAGGCCAAGTTCTGTCCTTGATCTGAGAAGCCCAGGCCTGGCTGCACACTGTCAGGGCACGGGAGGAGCGGACTCCCATCTGGAACACTTGCCTGAGGAGGTCAGAGCTCTCTCCTCCACCTCCAATTCCAGCTGGCTGTGAAGCACAACTTTAGGACTTGATCTTTAAAACAGACTCAAGAAGGAGGGTGTGATTCTAGTTTAAGGGCAGTCCTCTGGGGGTCACTTCCTATCCTGGAAATGGTCTGCTTCTAAAAAGGATGAGTAGTACTGAATGAACACATGCTGGCAAAGCACACTGCAAGTAATGAGAAAGCCCAGGGCATTCTGGGGTTGACTCTAGGTGTGTCCTGGACATTGCTGTTAGATCGGATGGCATGGGCGGTAATATTTCCTTGTTACCTGGATTTTCTTAGGAACACCAAACAGAAGCTGGAAAAATTGTCATTTAGAAAAGCACACGATAGACTTAGCTGTGGTCACTCCATCTCCAGGGGGTGGTTCGACATCACAGAGAAGAGCCCCGTTGCTAACAGTTAAGCAGACTGAACCATGAGAGGTTTTCAGTTCTTGAAACACAACAGTGTAAGAGCTGCAACTGTCTTGGGATCTGCACAGATGTGGGTTTTACCTTGGCTGCTCAGAAGGAAGATTACAGTAGCGCAGTGGTGGCTGAATACTGAATTGTGCAGCGAAAGCAGCATCTAGCCATGTATACTGTGCATGGTAGGCGCTCAATAAAATGGACTGAATTAGTGTGAGAGTCCAAGGCTGACTAAAGATCCAAAGGACAGATAAGCTTGGCTCTGCCAGTGACCAGCCAGGTTGCCCTGGGAAACTCACTTCACTCCTCTGAAACTTCTCAGTTGTTCTACAGTTTGGGGGCTCAGTGGAAACTGCAGTTCCTCTAACTTACTGGGGTGGTTTGTAAATTCTCAGTATTTCATTCTGACCCCAAGCTACAGGTAGAGCCTTACACGCTGGCGCCCGTCACCGGAAGTATAGAAGTTACCAGCACAGAGCTGCCTGTGACGAGGGACACAGGACTGCAGAGAAGACCATTCACCAGGCTGGTAGGAATAACGTACTAGCATTATCTGGATGATGGTGGCTCCCCCACCGCTGCTGTCCTGTTGCTTACTGGTCTATCTAGATGGACTGCGGGATAAAAATGAACCACGCGGTCTGACATTGTAGATGAGAGTGAAACGCAAGCTCAATTAACAGAATTAAGGGGGCCGCTCCGCCGTGGTGAGTCGAGCTTTCTGTTTCAATGACAGCCACTTTAATCAGAGGGGATCCCAAAGACTAATTCAAAGGCTTATTCACCTCGAGCAAGACTGGTCACTGAAGCATAACTCTAAGACCCGGTCGATCCAGAAGTGCTGGGCGTATTTGTCTGCCTGGTGCTGTGGGTGGGGGAGGGAGAGATGCCTCTAAAATGACGGCATTTTCCTTCGGGGACCTTACATTTGAGATTGGGTGACAAGGCATTTATTCCTTCATTCAACAAGTGTTTTGTGGTTCACTACTGTCTGCCAGGCACTGTCTGGGCAGGAGTGTAAGTAGGAAATGGCCCCGCTGGCGTCGGGGTGCTTTAGACGGAGCGGGAGGGGAGCTTCTCTGCTGAGGACCTGTGGACAAAGGATTGAGCTAGGCTGGGATCTGGGCGAGTGCTGTACAGGCCAGGAGAAGAGCAGAGGGAAGGACAAGACGTCAAGTGCTGGTGAAACAGGGCGAGTGTGAGGAGGCTGACTCAGTGAGGGCGGGGCCGACCCGGGAAGGCTCCCAGGAGGAGCCCTGGGGATGTGGCTTAAAGGCTAAGAAAAATGTAAAGGCTGGTGGGGGCAGCTGGCAGCATCTCCAGGACAGTCTCATTTCCCTAGTGTCTACCGAGGTCACGCTACGAAGCCAGGTGTGGGGATCATTCCAGTCTCCTGCGCAAACTGTGGCTTTCCTTTCCTTTCTGGTCTCAGTTAACATCATCAGGACACAACACAGGTGACAGCCTGGGGAGGATACTATTGATGAATCAACTGGGAAATTAAGGAAACAGACTAAGAAAAAAAGCCGTCTTCAGACGTCTGTTGTCTTTCATAATTGCCTACAGGAGGATCTAGAGCAGGTGTTCAGTACCTGAAAATTTACGGGTAATTATTTGGCGGCTCAACCCTTGGGTATGCTTGGGTGTAATCCTTTTAACTCTAAGCAGTTTCACAATAACAGGGATTTGACACTTACCTAAATATGATCATTTTGTGTGCTTTAAAGGAGAGAACATCTGTTTTCCTCTGTGCGTTTGCTTCCATAATATCCCCAAACACTCCTGTACTTTCCTCCTATGTAATATCCCCGGAACTAGTGATTTTTCAAAAGGTGCAGACGTTGATCTGTTCAGCTGATGAGCGGTGTGCTGAGACGGGCCCCCTTACACAAAACGCGCTGACGGGGCCTCGCAGAGACAGACTGTTGACTATTCGAAGAAATCGCGGGAGGAGGCAGGGAAGATGGGGACGTGCCATTCCCCCCCCCCCCCAAAACCGGGGCTGCCTTAGGAAACCCAGCTCTTGGCAGGGCCACTGTTCATTAAGCTTCTCGAAATGACCAAAACCGGGCATTCCTGGAGGTGCTCACACTGGTCTCCCCAGGGAGATCCCTCCTGGTGAGTGGCCGCGGGCAGCACTGGGAAGAATGTGCCTGACTTAGGAGAAGCCATTCATCCAGAAACGCCAGGTTCACTTTAGGCTCAGTTAACAGAAATACCCTGGTGACATCTGAGCTGCTGTGAACAGAAGTCCAAAGGTAAAGCAGCCTTCCTGCCTGGTGTGCACCCACCGTACTTCGTGATAACCGCCCAAAGGAGCTACAGGTGGAGAATGGCCACAGTTTGGTTTTCTAGGGGCTAAGCTGATGGCTTATGAACCAAAAGGAATATGGGCTCCTTAAGGGGGCAGGCAGGGTGCTGACTTCCTGATTTTGTATTTCTAGTGCTTAACAGGAGTTTTACCGTAACAGATGCTCAGGAAAAGCAAGGGGGTAGACGTGAATATAAGCATGCGGGTAAAGAGTCTCTGATTTCTATTTGTGAAAGGGAAGGTGTCTAAACAGAGTCTTGAAGTCCCACAAAGAGCTTCATCATTTCTAGTCCGTGTGACTTCACTCTGCACGGACAGTGGGGGTGATACTGGAGGCTCAGAGTCACAGCTCCACACTCCAGTGAAGGAAACGCACAAAGCCTCGCCGGTGGGACGCAGGATGAGAACTGATGGAAGCTTGGACTTCTTT